CCTGCAGCTCCCTGTTGGGAAGCAGCAGGCGCGGGCGAGCAAGCGAGCGGCGCAGAAAGAGCGTCGGCCCGCGAGCGGGACCCGCCCACCCTCTCCTTCCAGGCTGCCTCTCAGGACTGTGTTGCTGGTCGCTCGCTTCCAACACATGCTTTTGGGGAGACGCATTGAAACCACAGCCTGCAGCTGTGTCTAGTCCTTACTCTCTGTCTAGCTCGGTCGCGTGTTCACTGGCTTGGCCCGTGTGTTAGCTTCCTCTCATTGCTGAGATAAAATACGGACACGAGGCGTGAAGGGAGGAAAGGTCTGTTCAGTTCAGTTTGTAGAGGTTCAGTCCACGGTTGGCTGAGGGGTGACTGTTCGTGGCAGCGGAAGACAGCAAAAGCAAGCCGGGGAAGGCACGCGCCTCTTGCCCTCCCTTATACTGCGAGCAGGCTACCCAGCCTAGCGCAGCTGTATGCTCACACCCTTAGTGCCTGGACCAGACCACAGACCCACCACAAGCTCGAGGCTCAGCCACCGCTGAGGAGCCCACCACCCTATGACTGCATGAGGCTTTGGGGGTCCTCCAGAAACGAACCATGACAGCCCATGTGAGCCTGCGGAGACTGAAATCCTCCCTCTGGGTGGCTGCGCAGTGCAGTTGGTTTACCATCTTCTCTCATTAACAGGAAGGGGACTGGAGACTGCCTCTGAACCTACCTCAGGAGGAGCTCTGGGAGGTCGTAGTCCTGTTCTGCTGCTTGCATTGGAGAGATTTCTTGAAGGCTAGGGGGTGTTCTCCCCGAAGGAACACACGTTTGGTGTATGCTGTTTGCAGAATAGGGGCCGGTGGAGCTCCAGGCTTTATTAGGTGGCATTAGTTTGAATAGAATACATGTGAGTTTTCAGTTCATTTTTAATAATTTATAAAATGAGACAATCTCTAAGATCCCTGTCCTTGGGTTCTAAGGGTCTAGAATACCAGATACTTAGAACAGGACCACTAGATGTCGCTACTGACAACAGGAAAGGGGCTGACATCACAGTATGGCTTTAAACAACACTAAAATCCATTTATTTATTTATTTATTTATATGGTAACAAATATAAGAATAAAGATGTGAAACATCTTTATGGAAGAACCTTATAGGAGCCCCCGGGGCTGCCTCAGAGACACATGCGCCCACAGAAGTAGCCAGTGCGGGGCACCAGCGGAGCGAGGAAACTCTTCTTCCTCTGGACAAACAAGCGCTCCACAACCGAGGCTGGGGACACAGGAGAGAAGCGGAGGCCTCGGCCTCCCCGGGAGCTGATCCTGCAGTAGGGCTTAGATCTCGGGCTGGCACCATGCAGCTCCTTGCACGCACAGTGTGTGTGTGTGTGTGTGTGTGTGTGTGCGCGCGCGCGCCTACACACAGACAGGCTCCACACGGCAGGCCTGAGCAGAGGAGGTGGTGAATGTATAAATGTAAACATTTATTACAGTGAAAGACACACTGCTGGCACCCTCCGCTTAGTCCTCCCTCCTTTCACACACACACTCCACCCTCCTCCACACACACTGCAGCAGTCCTGGGAGTCCTCCTTCCTGTCTTTATGAGGTGTGATCAAAAATGTAGTGAGTGCTGCTGCCAAGGGCCATCCGGTGGAGAGGCAGGCTCATACAAACACGACATGGTGTTCTCAGCCTCTGGATCAGACGCACGAGACTTCCAGCTCTTCCCCAAAGTCAAGATGACCACGAAAGGGAAATGTTTTGAATAGATTCAGGACAGGGTGGCAGCTGGGAAAGACAGCTAATGACACTGGGAGACAGGACTTCCGGAGCTGCTGCAGAAATCGGCAAGGAGGATGAGACTGCACTGGGGTGAGGGGAGGGTCCTAAACCGGCTGATGCTGCGGCTTCAGGGCAAGGACTTATTTCTTAACCTAAGGGCTTACAGTGCTAGTTCCTGTACCCCACGCAGGCGCCTATTCACACACATACCCTAGTGCATACCGCGGAACAGTCACACCGTGCGTCTCATCCTCCCAGGCCCGCCACCCAGATGAGGGTGCACACCTCCAGCCCGGTGTGCAGGGCCATCCCACCTGGGTTTGTGCCAGGACACTGCGGTGTCATGCAGCGGCAATCACCGATTTCTCAGAACACATCCCCAGTATCATGGGACGACCCACCATGGTTGAAGCCACAGTTTTACCAAATAACAGCACTCTTGCCATGCGCAGTGCCCTTTGCTCTCTTGGTACCAGTCGCGAGCCTGAAAGCTGGCTGGACTTGAACGCACTTCCTCCTATGCCCCGCGGGATGCTAAGTTCTGCATGGCCCTCGCACCTGGGCCAGACTTGCTGCCATCTGAGCTGCCACTAAGGTCACCCTGGTGCCAGGTCTGCCTGGCCTGGGCCTGTGCATGCGCAGCCCGCAATCCGTGAGTGTGCATTTGCTGCCACGGGTGGGGGGCTCTCAGCCGCAGCATCCACTGCTTCGGCTCAGACTTTGTCCTGATGGCAAGCGCCTTGGAAGGGAAGTCGTGAGGTGCGGAGCGCACCGCCCCCATGCGGTCTCCAGCTCTGGGAAGCTCTGACCTGTCTTGGAAGGGTAGGGAGACCCGGTTGGCCTATTTCTCTCTGGATTTAAGGTTGGGTGGGGGCAGGCAGTGGCTTTGTTTTTCTAGTCTCTCGCTACGAGGCAGCCCACCCGGGACCAGGCCTCTGCTGCTCCTGCCAGCCTGAGCTCCGGCAACAACTCCCATGTGCATGCATGCACTGGGGATTTCTAACATATCTCCTATGAAACTCCGGGGTCCAAAGAGGAGGGACAGCTTCAGACTCATGATGACTGGGTATAGTAACAGACGCTGGCCAGTGGGGCCAGAGATGGCTTTATGCAGAAGGGAGCCTGGCATGGTGGCGCAAGCCGGTCATCCCAGCACTGGGGAAGCTGAGGCCGGAGGATCATCGTGAGTTCCAGGCCAACGTGGAAAACACAGCTCCTCGAGACCGGGTTAGAATATTTGGGTCCACAGCTGTGGGAGAGTACAAGAGCCGGCTTATATGTGTGAGGGGTAGGCGAGGGGCGAGTTCCCGGCCCTGGAGCCAGACTGCTGTCCTCTGCACCTGTCCCTTGGTGGTGTCCGTGCAGCACATTCGCACATGTTCCGTCTCATGGGGGTCATGGGAGAGTCTGTAAGGATGGCAGGCGGGCAGCCCAGGAGGCCAGTGTTGCCATGCAGGGGAGCCTGCCTAGGCATAGGCCAGGGTGCGCTGCAGGACAGCAAGGGCCCAGAGCAACGGGGACGGGACATGCCCTAGGCTGCCAGCTGGGACCCAGGGTGGGGACAATCTGGATTCCACACGAGCCCCGCCCCGCGAGAACAGCTTTTTAAAACTGGAAATTTGTATCAACCACACATACAAAAACTTTTAAGTGAAAAGATCCTGAGCACGGAGCTGCCTATGGAGTTGGAGTCTCTGGGGAAGGGGGACCCTGGAACCCACAGGCGGGACTGTTACTGCAGCCACCGATGAAAGCAATCAAGTTTCAGGTCTTCATCAAGCAGAGATATTTATTTTTCTTTTTTATTTTCAAGTAAAACAAAACTGGTCCCAGATAAGAATCTACTACCCAAGACTCTGCTGGCAAAAGGTAGTCAGCATTTTCAGGCAAATGCCGCTTTGGAGTGGCTCATTAGTTACATTTCTATATGTACTTTGCCCAGAAATGACAGGGCTGGAGGAATGAGCCACTGAGCAGTCTGGGTGTGCACTAGGGGAGGGAGGGAAAGTCCCTGGCTGAAGTTGCAAAGATGCTCAGCGGTAAATCCCCGAATGCCCAGCAAAGCGCTGAGCAGCTCTTGCCTTGGCGTGGATCTGCGCAGCTCAGCATTTTAAATTCCCTTTTCGCCTTCCCAGCAGTTTGGATTAACCCTCTCCCGCCTGTGCATACTGAGCCCACCGTGCGCCCTGGCTGGAGGTGAGGGTCCCTGTCCTTGCAACCCCAGCTGTCCCTGAACACCCCTGGTCACCCTGGGGACACGGTCTCAACTGTTTCTGCTGCTGATAGCTTGCCAGGAAGGAAAGGGACTGGTCCAGCCCAGGTACAGGTGTAGGCGGGGCAGGCTGTGGCCTCTGTCCAGCTGTGCCCAGAGGACAGGTCTGCCTGCTGCCACCACTGAAGCCAAGGGACACGGTGACATTTGGTTTCTGCTGCACACATGTCCACCCCTGGACCTTGGGACACCTGGACCCTCAGGATACCCACAGCTGCTTCTGGAGGCGGCCAGGCACTTGCAGCTCAGGGGACTCTAACTTCCGCATCCTTCGCTGCGAAAGATGGATCTAGTCAGACCTTTCCTGCTGGCCCCTGGGGGAGTACAGTGAGAAACCAACCAAGCAACCACGCAGCCTGAGTATCCATCAGGGTAGGAAGGGCGAGCATTCAGGGAAGGCCTGCCCGACGCACCAACGACTTTCTCTGCGTCGATGGTCTCTTGTGGTCCCGGCAGTCCTGAGAGGCAGCGTCTTAGTCTGTGCTTATTTACTTATTTATTCTTTTGTGGCTGGCTGAGCCCACCAGGGGGTGGGGCTGGCTGGCATGTGGTGCCAGGGATCGAACCACGGTCCCTGTGCTTTGCCTAAGCTTGTCTAAGCAGGCTCTTTAGACCGCTGAGCTATCTCACCAGCGCTTATTCTGTGTGTAAAGGTGAAGACAGTGAGTCTTGGAGAGTCCCACACTTGCACAGAACTATTATCCCATAGAATTGTGGGTTCAACAGGTAAGGGACAAAATGACCACTGTTTTATTGCATCAGTAAAAGGAATTTGTACTGTTTAAATGTTTCCTACGGCTTTTAATTTTTTTTTTTTTTCCAGAACCGGGGATTGAACTCAGGCCCTTGTGCTTGCCAGGGAAGCGCTTATTCTACTGAGTCATCTCCCCGGCCCCCCCAAAATTTTAATCACCATGTCATACTTAGTTTACAAAATACATCAATACATAAAAAAATGTTTTTTCCTTTATATGTCTTTCTATCTGTACACACACACACTAGTATGGAGAAAAATAGAAAGAGAAAGACCCAATTGTCCCTGAGTGTGGCTGTGGGAGAATAATTAGAGCGAGGTCATGCTTAGAACACCAGTTTTCAGGCCCATGTAAGCTATTTTCCTCCTGTGCTGGGGTTGGACCCATGGCTCCATCTCCACTGCTTGTTTTCCACCTTGAAGCAGGGCCTTGAAGTTGACCAGGTAGGATGCTAACTTGTGATCCTGCCTCAGCCGCCCTCAGTGCGAGGACCACAGGCAGGGACCGCTGTGTGCGCCCAGGGGCAGGCGAATTCACTGTCTCAGAAGAATATGAGAACAAGAACAAAACAAGAGCCAAGAGATAAAATGGTTAACTGAGCAATAAAAGACTTATTTCAAGAACGCTGGTACTAAAATGAAACGTCAAGTAGAAGGCCTCCTACGTAACTAGGGGGCCCTGCGGGCACAGTAAAGAGCAAACCAGCGTTCAGCCCAGCGATGTTAAAAGCAAACGCGCCACGCAGCAGGGGCGAAGCTCCATGTAACACACACACAGCGATCGTTCCGACAGCAAACCGTGACACCCATGCTGCTCGGCACCTCGTCAGTGGACACCTCATTCATCCTGAGAGGGGACCTTGGCGTAACTCAGAGGGAGAGTCAGCCCCACGACTGGCCCCACGACGCTCAGCCAGGCTGCGATGTAGTTGACGTTCCTGGGAATGAAGGGAAACGGGTACTGTTAGTGTGGCTGCTACAGCTTCCGGGTGAACCAGGAAACCACTCTGCCACCAGCAGGCGGAAGCGAGGCTTTCTTCAGGGCTGTGCCACTCCCGAAGCTCAGCATCTGCACGCCAGACACGTTGCTGGACAAGGGGCTGAGGACCACAGAGAGTGTGAGGCGCCCTCCCGGGGAGCTGAAGGGCACGCCAGGCGCTGGGCGCCCAACTCCCCTCGAGACTTGAGTCTGCGCGGAAGCTCTGGCTCCAAGAAGGCTCCGAGCGTGATGGTTAAGTGCAGGGCTCGGAGACGAAGATGCTTGGATGCAAGGCTCAGGTCCACCTCTTAACTGTGTGACTTAACGCCTCTCGGCTTTTGCTTTCTCTTCTGTAAACCGGGTAAAAAATGGTACCTAGCTCACAGGATGCTATAAAAATCCACTGTGCTAATATATCTAAAACTCTTAGAACAATGCCTCGCACACAGTAAAAATCAATACACGTTAGCCATTATTATTATTACAAAGAATATTTCTCCTTCAGACTAGTTTTTAGAGTCACATAAAAAGATTTACACTTCTAAAATCAGAGGAAAGGCCCATGTATCTTGAAGGTGTTTCTTACCTATTGATTTTCTGGGAATTCTTTAATACTGGAGTCATGAATTCAGTAGTCTTGCAAGGATGAAGTACAAAAAAGGGTTGTCCCAGGACTGGATGCTCCTATAAGAATCAGAGTGGGGCAGGGATGGTCACAGTGACTTTGAAAAATTAAACAGTCTGATTAATTCTTTAAAACAAGGATGTGTCCTAAATCTCAAGTTATTGAATTAACATACAGGCAGGTTTCCTGTTTTATAACCCAACATAATTTATAGCCCAAAGATGGCAGAGTTGGCACATTAGTCACTCTCCTCATCACTGGGACAAAAATACCTGACGCCCCCGGCCTAAGGAGGAGATGCTGGCTGACTGGGCTCACAGACCGCCGTCCTCTGGCTCCAAGGCAGGGCTGCCTGGCAGCAGCTCATGGCAGGGGAAACAGGAAGGGGCGAGTCGTGGGCAGAGGCGGGAAGGGAGATAAGCCCTTCTGGGTCACCCCCACGGTGGCCTGCCTCTCCTGACCAGACCCCTGCTCCCCTCCACGTTGCTCCCTGCCCAGGCGCACAGACCCCAGCAAAACGGGGAGGTCTCCTGGGCTAGGGCTGTCTGACTGCAAGCTCTGCCTGATCCCCAGTGAAGCAGCTGTGGGCAGAGCTGGACAGCCAGGAGGAAGGCAGGAGGAAGTGGAAACTGAGGATTAGAAGCAAGAGACAGAGATGCCCATTCCACATGCGCAGGGGAGACAGATTCTGCAGACAGAGCCTAGGCAGCTCACAAGCCAGAAAAGAGCAGCAGCAGTAACAAAAGGACAAACCGGGATTGAAATCCAGAATTCTTCCAATCTATCACCTAAACTAATTCCCAAAGAAATTTATGAGACATGCACAGAACCAGACTGTGATGGGCACTAGGGGCAAATGTCAGTGGTGACCACCGGCCCTAAAGGCCCAGGCACTGCTGCACAGGGAATAAAAAGCACTTATGATAAATGTGTTCAAAGGATTAACACTATGCGGATGATGTGTGTCTAGATGTCTCCCAAGCTTCACACAGTCACGGGGCGGGTTTCCAGAGTCTGTGACTGATTTACGATCCAATGCTGGGATAGGAGTGTGCGTGCTACACCCGCTCTGGGCAGGCGGCCTGAATGCACCATAAGGAAGGCGGAGAGGCTTGCTCTCCACTGCTCCTCCCTTTGCTCTTGGAAGCTTTCCAGAGCCATGAACAGCTGCCCTCTGCCATGTGCCACTCTGTCCTGGAGCCAGCTGAGTATGGACTGAAACCTCCCCAGACTATGAGCTAAATAAACTTTTCTTTCCTTAATTCTGGGCATCGTATATTTTATCCAAGAAATAAGAAAAAAATAACTAAGACATTATGGCTACAGGATTAAAAGGGAAAATTTACGAGAATGACTGCACTAGAATCCCAACGAAAGAACACTAAGACTATAGAAAGAAGCCAATGGAAATTTCGGAGTTGCTACACACCACACCAGAAGTAAGAAAGGCCGGGAGGCAGCAGTACACAGAGCCGGCAGACTGGAAGATGCACAACAGGAAACACTCAGCCTTTAGAAGACAGGGGAGAAGATGGAGCAAGAGGAGCCGGGGACCTGAAGACCCACCTCAACGGCACCAGAATTTGGGTGACAGAGCTCTGGAGCAGGACATCTAGGGACATGCTGGCTGAGGCCTTCCAAACATTGATGGGAAATGTTAATCTGTAGGCTCAAGAACCTCCGCAAACCCTAAGCACAGAGGGCTCCACACGCAAATGGCTCACATCCAAAAGCAAGGAGAAAATCTCGGAAGCAGCAGCCTGTAAGGACTGTCCACACAAATAGGAGACAACCCCGAGGGTAGCAGAGAGACTCAAAGTGCGGGGGTGTGGGGGGTGCAGAGGTGGGGTGGGTGGCTGGAATTCCAGACTCAGCGAAACTGCCCTGTAAAACTGAAGGTGTATATGAACAGATTCTCTGGGAAGGAGCCTGAGCCAGGTACTTACCTGAGAATCTGCCCACCAAGACATCGCCAGGGAGTTCATCAGGCAATAACAGCGCAGGTAACTCAAGACCCCGGCCCCAACACACCCAATACAAATGCTTACACTTGGTTAATATAAAGATTAAGAAATCTTAAAAATTTTCTTTCTAGTCATCCACATTTGCAGCTCATAGCGATTACATTCCCGGTGGGGTGCTGAGCAGACGCAGAGCGCCCCAACACTTTTCACATGTCCCCACCCCCACTCACCTCTTGGCCCTCTTCCCATCTGCAGAAGATTTTCTTCCCTTAATAAGATTATGGAAGCAACACCCCCAGCCCTGCAATGTTGGGCTGATGACCCCTCTAAACATAAAGTCCATGACAGCCACACACAAAGGAAGGAGGAAAGGACTCCAGGGAGGCAAGGTGCTTGCAAGCAGCAGCCCTCCACTGCCAGGGGCCAGCAGGGCTGCTGGCCATGAGAGCACTTGGAAGCCAAAGTTCCTTCCTCTGAAATAAATCCTTTAAGCATGTTGTTAAGCATGCCAGGCCTCCGAGCAGTGTGTCAAAGCATCCATAATTAATTACAGGATTAAATTGTACATGGTTCAACACCCAATCCTTTCTCAAATGGATTAGTTTCTCTTAGTTGTGGCAAATTAACCAAATCATTAATTACTTTCCAAATACAGATAGAGAATTAATTTTAAAAATATACAAAACAGATCTTTGTTTCAAAAAACAGGCTGAGTACCTTTGATCCAAATGCATGAGACCTGACATGCTTCAGATTTTGGGTTTTTGGAAATTTTCATAAACGTTACAGTTTATCGTCCCTCATCTGAAAATATGAAATCCAAACTGCTCCAAAATCCATAACTTTGGCTGGTCAAAAAGCTTTGGAGTTGGGGACACTTTAGGTTTCAGATATTTGAATTTGGCATACTGGAGCTATATACAGCATTACTGAATGCAGAGCCCTGAGTTATAAAGAATGGAGTAATTCTCACATTGTATAGGAAAGTATCAAATGTCCTTGACTAGAATCCATATATTTTCTTTCATTCATTTAGCAAACACTGAGGCCATTTTAAACTGATGGAAGCCTAACTCAAAGCAGAGGGTCTGTAGCTCAGGAACGTGGTCTGTCCCTGGAGCTTTCTCCACCTCAGGAATCGCAGGATCTCGAGTTATTGTCATGGCCTGAGCCAACGCCGCTTTACAGATTGTATCTGTTGGCAATCAGCTCGTGTCTAGCGTGCATGCTGTCATTCCCTGTGGGAGGCTGGTGCACACACCACACCCCCGATTCTTTCCACATCCCCTCCCCCTCCTCCATCTCTATCCCCTTCACACTGGAGGAAGATCCAGCGCCCTGCTTCCTATCCTCTATCTCTTATTTTGCTTTTCATATAAGAGAAGCCAAGAGACATTTAAGCTTTTGTAGCGGTTCTGTTCCACCTAGGGCTGCAGTGTCAAGGTGCACCCGTTTTCCTACAAATGCCTTAGTGTTGTCCTGTAGGGCGCAGCAAGCATCCTGGGCTGCAGACTCAACGTTTCCTTTATGCACTCACATGCTGGCAGACCTCAGGCTCCTCCCAAGAGCCAGCTATCATGAGCTGCGCTGTATGGACAGGCGTGTGAGCATGCAGCACTGCCAATTGATGCCTTTCAGGTTTTTTTGGAACAATCAAATGTAGAAATGTTAGCAGGACATAAAACCAAAACACACAAATCAATAGTGTACACTAAGAAAGAACTCACCGAGACAGAAATTTAGAAAAATATGCCATTCACCATAGCACAAAAGAAAATTAAATATTTAGGGATTAACCTAACTAAGGAAGTAAAACACTTTGACAACAAACACTGTGGCATTCTGAAAAAGAAAGTAGAAGACATTAGAAAATGGGAAGGTAATTTCTGTTCCTGGACAGAACATTGTGTCCAAATGGGCATGCTTCTGAAATTGATGCAATCTCAGTCAAAATGCCAGTGCTCTCTTTTTGGTCAGATTCCATCACCTGATCCTACAAACCCAGCAAGGTGTGTTTCGACCACGTACAGAATTTACAAATAATCTGAGGCTTGAGGTCAATGTAGACAAGCTGGAAAATACTCTCTGAAAGCCACTTTTCTTTAGTGTGGCTTCTTTTTTTCCCCCATAATTTTATTGAGAAACAAATAGCAATGAGACAATTTCAAACCACATTGGTAAGACAGTTTCAATAATCAACACACTGCATACATTCTTCCTAGTGGTTATTTGCTGTATAAGATGCGAACCTGAGATCCTATTTACAAACACCATTAGAACAAATCCCTCTATTCATTAAGAGAATGTAACTATGTATCTATCCTAACCACTTTGAATACACAGATAGAAAATGAACATTCATCTGTATCCCCTTTTTTTTGTTAAGTTCCATTATTTGAATATTATAGGTGTGTAAACTCAGCAAAATATTCTAAAAGAGTCCAGCAGTCCATAATAGCATTAGGTCTTCCGCTTCACTGGCAGTGTCAGAAGTTGCTGGCCCGAGTCCCTGACAGCTCAACATAACAGCATGGCTTTACCACTTATTAGTGTGGCTTCTGACGGCCCGCGGGATCACAAAGATGGTCTGTGCTTTCTCCTTCCCTTCCGACAGCCAGAAGCAAGATGAGAGCAGTCCTTGGTTGGCTTCAGACTTCAGTTTGGAGTTGCAAAAATCCAAGCTCCTAAACTTCATTTATTTTAATTTTATTATTATTATTATTTTGTATTTTAGGGAAGGGTCTACAGGTTGTTGAGGGTCTCACTACTAGACCAGGCTTGTAGTGATTCTCTTGTTTACAGCCTCCCAAGAGCTGGGATTCCAGGCACGCACCACCACACCCAGGCTCACTTGCCATCTCAGCACGCCCTGGGGCGGGGCTGGCATGGCCCGGGGATTGAACTCCCAGCCCCTGCACCTGCTTGCAGGCACCTTAATCTGCTGAGCTATTTGGTCTGCCCAAAACTTCACTTGTTTAACATAGCTTTTCCAGAAATGGAGGAACATCACAACTGTCAGGACCCTGTTAGTGACATTTCTCAGATCAATTCAGGAGGTAAATCTATGTGAAAGTGCTACCATCTGCTGCCAGGAC